AGCTCAAACATGCATGAAGGTTGTTATCGCGATCCTGAGACAGATGAGTCCATTTTACATGGCCGATTCTTGCGGGGTTTTAGTAATTATGCCATTGAGCGTTTTTTAAAAACCACGTTCGTAATCTGTGTCGTTTAAGATAAGGGCTGGAACAAAGAAAGTTATAACTGGCAGTACCAGAACAAGCAAATCCCGTTCAGCATGAGAAAAACTGGACCAGAGAAAAACAAAAGGATTGTTGAAAGGTGCAATAATAAAAAGCACTCGAATGAGCTAGAATTTTAGAACCAGGTTGGAGAGCAGCTCTTCTAAAGATTCCGAAAACACCTCTCTCCTGGTATCGGACCAGGAGAGCGTAGTTAGCATAGTTGTCCATGTTCAGTAGTGACTGTATCACGGCGGCAACGGGTGGGGGGAGAGGTGGAGGGGAGGGTCAATTTTCTGGGTATCCATCCCTGTTAGAAGCATTCAGAGCGAAGTTAGAACATTATGGTAGGAAACGACAAAAAGAGACACGTGATGGGGCAGATTTGCACATTTATTTTTCGTGCTTGAGATACCCAGTCAGCGGTTTTTGCTGGCATTGCATTGGGCTGTTCTTCCTAGTGCCGTCTTCGCAGAGGGAATCACATAGAACGGAGGGCGGAGGGAGGGGTTTCTTTTACGGAGAGGGGCTTATCGTGTATTGCGCCGAAGCAGTGCCTGAAATTGCAGTGCCTGAAACATTTTTGTGGAACGTGTCCAGTCCAGTCGAGAGTTTTTTGTTTTATTAGATGCAGTGGGGAAGATAATTTCTTTACGATGTTTAGGTGTCCGTAGTTGTTGTAATTTTTTTCGTCGTGTGCATCGTGTTGTTTCACTGCTGTAGCCATTGTTGCCTCAACTTCTGTGCATAAAAATCCCATAAGTTCATTACGGGACAGCACAGGTTTGGTAAATGCAGACTCGATTATAATCTTTGCAAGCAGAAACGGAGAAGTTGAGGTCTGCAAGTTGTGAGCAAAATGGTCTGGGCCTATAAGAAATTCTAAATGTTTGATATGCCAGCTGTTTCAGAAGTGGGAAGTTTCAGGCCTGCATCAGAGCAGTGCTGATTAGGCCCACCAACTCTGCCATATGTGCTAGGCGTCAGCTTTGTTAATATTTTCGAATAATTTGTACTGACTATTTGAGCTAACGTCATTCCACGCCACGTCACCGGTTTTTTGCGTCCCGAATGCCTTTCGTGACTTGTGTTTGAGTCTGGCCCGTCCACGGTATATTCTTCCCTGTTTTGAATACCCGAAAGAGCAGCTGCCATGTTTCCGGCACGCACTGGTTGCCAAGTTACCCATTAGTTGCACACTGCTGTTGATCAAATACTTCCAGGAATTTGGAGTGAAGTGTTTGGTTTCATTTTGTTCACGAGAGCACAAAGATCGTGTTATCTCGGGCAAAAGTAGCCTCGAGCCGCCAACAACCGTTGATCCGGTCACGGAACCACCGAATGAGTTAAGCGGTGAAGCAGAATTCGAAGCAGCAACGCCCGATGATGTTGGGATGGCTGGTGCTGTTGTTGCTGCTGCTGCTGTTGAGGAGAGTGCCGGAACTCAGAAGGGCGCTACTGGTGCCGCTGCTGACAGCGGCCCGAATGAGTCATCCGGCACTTCCGGACCGAGTAAAGACAGCATCGACGATGCTACACTGGAACAAGTAGTGAAGAGAGGAATCATGACCGGTTTGCCTCTTTCCTTGCTTTAAGTGAATTTGAGAAACCCGAACTGCTTTCTTCTGATCGCTCAGAAATGGCGAGCATCCGCAACGCAGCCGGGTTTTGCATGGGAGTACTTGCAGCGACACCGGATATGCGTGGCAGCGCCCACATTAGGAGGTCGTCGTACGTCTCGGTAGCCCTGAAAATGATAGGCAAGGTCGAACTTTGAAACTAGTAACTGGTTGGGAGAGCAAAAAGTCAAGGTAGTTGTCGGATTAGGATTCTAGAGTCTCTGTGTGTTATGGAATTTCAAATTTAACGGCCAACATTAAGTTCTAAACGCTGTAGGTTAAATCCAGTTCTGAAAGTAACGTGTCAGATAGAGATTGAGACGCAGTGCTCAACAGTTTAAAATGTTCCGCCAGAACGTACGTCCGTTGCTAATGTTGTTGGATTGTTTTTGTTGTTTTCAACTTTTACATTCCATAGAATATGTGGACAAGAGAAGACGCAGAGAAAAACCGGACGAAGTTATAATCCGTGAACTCATGCAAAGCATCAAAGATACTGTAGCTGCACGAACCGACCATGGTGCTGGGAAAAGAGCTTTTATGGATAATTACTACCAGAATCTCGCTATTGATTGGCACGGTTCACCGGAACTTCAGTGGAGAGGTCAGTGTTGGCAGCGGAAATGCAGTCTTTCATTAATCTTCATTTGGCAGTAAACGTT